GAGTGATATGGGGGTGCTGGGGGGATGCTGGGGGCTGATGGGCAATGATGGGACTGCTGGTGATGATGACGCAATGATGGAGGGGTGATGGAGGGAGTGCTGGGAGGTGATGGATGGTGATGAGGGGGTGATACTGTAGGGAGAATGGAAGGGTCTCAGGGGTGAGGCTGGTGGGGTGATGATGGGTTTGATAGCGGATGAGAGGGTGGAGGGATGACGATGGGAGTGATAGGGGGATGATGATGGAGGTGATGATGGGGGATGATGGAGGGAGGGGGGGATGGAGGGTGATACCGGCCATGATCGGGGAATGTTGGGGTTGATGATGGGGACAGTGATGAAAGGAGTGATGGTGGTGACGGAGGGTCACACTGGGCTGATGGGGGATGATGAGGAGATAGTGGGGAGGAGGGTAGGGAGGTGATGGGGGTGTCGGGGTGACACTGGGAGGGCTGGGCTGGGCTCACCTGGCAGGACAGCCCGTGGTACCCGGGGGGACAGCGACATTCCTCCACCTCGGGGGCGGGGGGCAGGCCGGGCTGGGGGGGCACGGCCGTGTCCATGGCCACGTCGGCGATGGCGGCGGCGGCCGTGCTCGTGGAGTAGGTGGCTCGGATCAGGATCTCATCCAGATCAGCCAGTGCCATCAGCAGGTGCTCCCGTGTCGCTGGCTGCCCATCTGGCCGCTGCCAGTATTGCTGCAGGAACAGGGGGTGAGCAGGGGACACGCCGTGGCAAAGGGGGACATTGGGGACAAAGGCTGCCCAGCACCTCCTACCTCCCGAAAAATGATCTCGAAGGTCTGGGGGGTCCGTGGGGACAGGTCAGGCTGGTAGGCCACCAGCGTGATGTCATTGCCCTGTGGACAATGGGGACAAGGGGGTCAGGGGGTCCTGGTGTCACCCGGTGTGTCCCTGTGCCCTCCCAGCCAGCACCCCCTTACTGTGATCTGGACGTCGGCGTCGGGCAGGGGCGCTCCCTGTCCCCCCGGGGTGAAGCTCAGGGTGTAGCGCAGCCGACCGCCATAGGAGCCCACCTGTGGGATAATGGGATAATGGGATAATGGGATTATGGGATAATGGGATGGGATAATGGGATGGGATGGGAAAATGAGATGGGATAATGGGGTGGGATTATGGGATGGGATGAGACAAGATAGGATGGGAAAATAGAATGGGATAATGGGATGGAAAAATGGGATGGGATAA